CTTCATTTTTGTATAAAAAAAAAAAAAAAAAAAAAAAAAAAAAAAAAGAAAACGGATGTTTGAAAAATGATGAGCTTTAAAAAAAAAAAGAGAGGAAACATAAGGGACTAGATGGGAAGGATGGATTTTGCGTCCAAAAGTCAGAACTCAGTCACAGATTTCCTGCCTCAAATGAGGCATCATTTAGTTCAGTAAATACGACTTCATTAATATTCACCTACTTTAAAAAAAAGCTTTGAGAGTCTTAAGGCGACGTGGGAAAATAGATTAATACTTATATCTAAATGTCAAGAACTGAGATTTGCGTGCTAGAGAGCTGTAAGAAGGGAAAAAAAAGAAAGCAGGGCAGGTCAGCAGAGGCAGGGGGAGAGAGAGAGAATAAGCAAGGAAACACAAACCACGGGAAAGAAAACTGGACCTTTGCTACCTCTTGAGATAATTAGTCAGTTATCAGCTCCAGACCATGCAGAAATGGAACAAAAAAGATTCAAGGGAAGGAATTATGCTATACTTCAAATATGCTTTTCAAGATCCGTTTTCCCATCATAAATAACATACTGAATTGCTGTGAGTCAACAGATTTCATCAGGGCCATGTTACATCATGCTGTGCATTGTAAACAAAAGCACAAGCATTTCCTGACTTACCAGAAAAAAATCTTCATTGCCCGCAATTTCACATACAAGGTAGAGAGAATACAGTGGGATGTATCAGGACTTGACATTACAGCCTGCATAAGCATCTCATTTTACCCCAACCTAACATAAGCATAGCTACATTTTTCTATGAACAGGAACACTGTGATTTCACAAGAAAGTCTGAAGATACTTGAAAATGCATGCATGGGTTTTTTCCATTTCTTTCAAGCTTCTCAGGATAAATGTGGGCATACGTTAAGAGAACTCTGCAGTTCTACAGCCTATTACTGCACACTGCTGCCACTGCGGCTACTGAAAGAAGCAGATGGCCAACAGTCCATATGAACTAATGCCCACAAACTCCGTTACGGCTTTTTTGAAAAGCCAAAGGAAAAGCTACTTAATTTGGGCAATTCACTTCACACACTTGAAAAATCAAGATGAAAAGCCTAAGTGGTTCAGGTTGCCAGTGCTAATTTCCAACCCTTCCAAGCCTTGCCATTCTGTGATTCTGCGAACAGCAGACACAACCCGTGCCCATATTCAATGTCCCAACTCAGGACAACCCTGGAGTCATCACCTAAGCTCAGACCACCTGACAGCTCACGTGCTGGAAGTCAAGTGCTTTCCAACGCCAATAAAAGCTGCCACATGTAAACCCCATGAAACCAGAAGGGAGCTGGAGACGGTAAGTGGTATGGTCAGCCTGCCTCTGCATTTTCCCCACCTGCGAAATGGGAACCTATATACTCGGCGACTGCTGACCACCTGCTTCGCAGAGCCTTGCAAAGACTCAGTAGGTTTACACTTACAAAGCCTTCTGAAGATGAAAGGTTTAGAAAAAAAATACACCAACGCATTAAAAGAGACTGGGATAACAATGACATACTGCAAAGTAACACTCACCCGTTCCTGACCAGCTGTGTCCCAGATCAGAAATTTGTGAAGCTCATTCCCACAAGGCACAGTTTTGGTCATAAAGGATGCTCTGAAAAGAAGGAAGCAGCAGAAATTTGTAATATGACCGACACTCTGAATATGCAACCTATAAACCTTAGCCAGTTCTGCTGGGTTAGACTGCATATGGGGAAATTCCAAAATCTCAGTAAAACGCCTACAAAAGTGGAAGTCTCCCTCTCCACAGATAAAATATGAGTTACCTATATATGCATTTTAGAAGAAGGGAAAAGCATTTGTGCATGGGCCCAGGAACACGCATAGCTTCTGCTGCTAGCTAGCTCCATCTTCTTGGTGACATGGACCTGAGAAAAAGGCATCAGGCAGCATCGTACCAGGTAACAAATATGGAACTTTTCAGTTAAACCTAGGAGACTGGATCACCAGGGAACAGAAAAGTCACATGCTGGAATGCACGTGGTGAACAAATGGAAAGAAGTTCTTTCCCCTCTCAACTCAGATGAAGAAATCTTCACGGCTTCTTATATTTTTTGTAGGAAATGCAATTTGTCTGTGTTTTCACAGTGTCGTTTTTCTTCTTTTAGGAAAGCAGGTTACAAATTTATAGGCTTTTTCTGTATTACAGCATTTCAGTTGAAAGCTGGCTAGGAGGGACTGCCAAACTCTGATAGATTTTCTTTGTCCCCATCCTATCTGGACACTGCTGTACACTTTCTGTTGTGGTAACTTTTTTCCTGGCTCATAAAGATGCATTTGATACAATGCACTGTCATTACAAAAGCACCAAACGACATCAAATGACATACGACTGATTTCCTGAGAATGATATACCACAGTTCTCCTCTACAGCCATCTGCAAATTGCTTGAATTTAACAATGCTGCATTGCTTATAAAAATATTAAGTAAGGCAAAAAAAAGTGCAGCCTTTTCTTCGGTTATTTGCAGGGCGCTTTCAGTTGTCACTCTCCTTCTCAAAGCATTAAGCAACACTTCACAGCTTCAAAAACAGGAACTTCAGAGCCACAGCAGCCACTGTAGATTGCAAGGATTGTATATTTAAAACATTTGAATAATTTGGAAGAGAATAAAACAAAAAACCTTATCTACATGCACAAGTAATATTACCTGTGTGCAAGCTAGCCTTCACATTTTAATCCTCAAATAGAAAAATATTTTCCCCTCTGTTACCACAATTATGAAAATTAAAGGGATATTTTTTTTTCCATTTGAGCAGAAGACATTTACTTAGCAACAACAACTACCCGGGGAAAAAGGCTGTTGCTGATTTAGAAGTAAAGAACCACTCAAATTCCCATCCATTCCTTCACTGCAAACAAGGGTCCTTCAGTCAGTAACGTCATTCATTACATGCTTCCTTTCTGTCCATTTTTCTCTGTTTGTTACATGCAGGAGTCCAAAATTGCCCTGGAACTTCAACGTGCAACTTCCAGCTGAGACTCCCTCATGCATCAGAAGGCAGAGCTTTGGAAGATACTGCCTAACCCTCTGAACAACACACAGCAATCAATACCAATCCTTCACAGATGATTTAAAACAGCTCTAACACATGAGCCAAATCAGCCCTTCCCACCCTTTGTGGGAATTACTCCTTCGTGAACATTACATATTGGCTTCCTTTCCTGTAAGAGATCAAGAATTTTCAAAATTTTCCAGGCAATGTTGGACTTGGCAGGTTTGTCCCTAAGATGCTAGAAGAAAAAAAAAATGTTGGCATTAAAAATCAACTACAGGACTAATAGACTTCTGATGGTGTGACACGTGGAAGCTTGGCAGTTTTTAAAGAAGAACAGGTGTGAATTAATTATACTTGGTTGAAATTGCATTGTCCCTATTTTGAGAAAGACGGGATAACGTAACATGTCCTAAACCTAGATGAAAGGATGTATACATCTGAGAACAGACAGTGTCTGTGTTCCAGCCCAGCTTGGCAGGACACACAACATACTTTAACACATTAAAGGGCTCCCCATGGGTCTCCTGGCATTACTCAGCCATGGGGTGTGCTGGTCAGATCACAGCCTCTTTGGGTTGTGGGGTTTTGGTTGTTTAAGCTCCAAGGATCAGATCTGATACTTCATTGACCAGTGGGAACTAAAGTGATTTTAATCCTAAAGTCCTACTACCAAGACACAATGTCAAGTGGGAAGCTCTTGACATGACAAAAAGGACACCGGCCTCGTAAGACATCTAAGAATCTCTTGGTGTAAGACAGGTGAAGAAAAACAAAACAGAACAGCTGGAAGTCATGGCTATGCCCAACACAAGTCAACACAGCATGGTTCTGGACAAGCCCAGAGAAGAGGCACCATTCACAGGAGAACGGCAGAGAGAGCGTGTCAGCCCCTCCATAACAGATTATGCTGCGATATAGTTAAGTTGAGGCCCCTTCTGCATTTCCAGAACAGGGAGAGCAGAGCAGACCTGGCTTGGGGCAGGCCCAGACTCTCTAAACAGGTAGCACGAGCTGAAAGCCATTAAAGGAGACTAACGGGTTCACTGAGATTGATAAACTGGAGGAAAAAAAGATATATGGTATAGAGCCTTGAAAGTAAGGAAAAGGAGAGCTCAGCAAAGGGTAGTGAATTAAAAAATATATATAAGAAAAAAGATATTACACATGGTACTTACCCAATAGTGGGACTAATATTGTGATCAAAGTGGTCCTGGACAAATCGACAAACGATGCTCGATTTCCCGACCCCAGTATCCTGAAAATGAAGGAAAGCACATCAGTGAGTTCAGGAGACCCTAGATACCAATACTTCACCTGAAGACATAGTCAAATATTAATTTATGAAATTAAATCCTCTCTAGTAGGAAGTGGGGCAGGTTAAAGATTTCAAAAGAAAAGCAAGCACGTGGATTATCCTTTTCAAATGTCAGCATTGTGAACGGAGCTCCCTGGCCCCCCTTCCCAACATTCCCTTCTCTCCAAGCCTTGTATTTTTTTGGGTGGATTTTATATTCCTGTTTCAAGGATTGTGGTACTTCAAGCATAACCATTTACTTGTACATAAGAAAATCCTGCACTTTCAAACACATGGGTGAATGACCCAACAAAACCAGAGAAACCATTTCTTCCAGACCAGTTGCAAGGGCAGCCCAAGCATGCTTCCAAGACAGATTACTAACACCAACCTTTTAGTAGACTGACAGCACTAACTTAGTAGAACTAACCTTTCCACAGAAAGACAAACAAGCCTGCTTGGTGGAAACTTTGCAGAAGCTTCAAGTGGTTTTGAAAAGGCAGGAATTCAAAGAGTTGGATCCCCAGAGATGTGCAACTATCCCTGTGCAGGTTGTGTTACTGGACTGCGGTGAAACGGCATTACTTTAAATGCAACACAACTTGCTCTTTACACTGCAATGTGGCAGGCTGCTTCCACTTGCAGGAACAGTCTGGGGTTTTATCCCTCCCCCCAAAATCGGTAAAGAAAAATAACAGAAGTACAGTACTAGAATAAAATTCAAAAATAAGCTGTGGGGGATGGGAGAAAAGCTTGACATTACTCAGAAATACTATTTTAGGCACTTAAGATACTAACAACTTCCCCCAAAAGCTGCATTTTCAGTTTGTCTCTGCTATTCCATGAAGCCTTGTATGGTAGGCAGAAGAACATAAATTACACAGACAATTATCAAGGAAGAGGAATAGCAATATCACTACGTCTCCCACAGAATTGCAAAGAGCCTCCTTAGAGACAAAAAGGATGCCAGGAAATCGATCCTGACCTTTCTAAGACATTAACAATGACAGCCCAGGGTCCAATCTAACTCATTAAGAAGTCAATGGAAAGTTTTCTATTAATTTCATTGGAAATAATTGCACAACTACCAGACTGCACCTGGTAGTTCCATTTGTATCCACATTTTAAGGCACTTGACTAATTTCCCTAAACTTCTCGAAAAGCACCAAGACAAGAGAATACAGTTTGTCGAAAGCACTACACACATAAATACACACATATATAAAAAAAAGCCTTTGCCTTTCCTGTAATCAATTTTGCAATATTTTATCTTCGTTTTGAACATGAAAGAAAAAGAATGCCTGTAGTTAAGATTTCCTTTCACCATGTTTAAATGAAACTGTATTGCCACTGCAAGTGAAGTCTTTATAGACAGCACTTATTAGAAAACCATCATTTTAACTCTCATATTTAATTCAAAGCTGTCCTTAGTCAGCTTAAAAGCCATAATAAATGCTCATGCTACACAGACGGTTATTTATCTACTGTGTTCAATCAATAGGGAAAAAAGATCAAAGAGAGGAGTAGTGTTTAAAACCAGCCCTGTAAGCTTTGATCAATAGCAGCAACACATCCTGTTGCTGTTCCCAAATTTTGTCTTCGTTATTGATTCCAGCTGACATCTCTGCATAATTACTACACCAGGTTGGCAGAACACATTTAAGAAAAAAAAAAAAAAAAAAAAAAGGGAATCCATCTTCTGTTCCAAGGTGCTGAAACTGAGGATCTATGAGTCTGAATTTTAAACATTTGTGGAGAAACCAGAGTTACCAGCCACTGGGTGCAAGGAATTACATTTCCTTCTTGCAGGGAGAGTTTCTGCCACCATGTTTGAAACTAGACATCGACTCCCATGACCTGATGATGCACTTCCTTCAGCTCCCTCCACAAGTCACTCAGGGGGGGCAACTGCAGTCGCAGCTTCTGAGGAAGAGGAGCCTGGTCTCTGGCAGGGACGTGACATCCGCAAGCGCGGATTAAAGCTTAGCTCATTTTCCTGGAAGCTCCTACCTCTTCATCTTGCAGCTGGTGGATCTTACTAACAGTTTCATGCTAACATTACACGAACTTTAAAAGTTTCGATTGCCCTTGCACCTTTCGCAACAAGCACGGCTAAACTTAAGCCTGTGCCAGGCACAGTGATAGCCCTCTGGTCTAACGTCAGTGATACCAATGGACTTGGACCAGAAATGAACCTGTCTTTAGGACGACCGCTGTTGCTGCCAGCGGCCAGTGCTTCCCAGGAGCCAGACAATTTATTGCACCAAGGGGTTCAGTTGAAACAAGCACTCCCAGCTCCTGTTTTGTTGCCTGGAGGGTACAAACGGCTGGCTACTGGAGTATAATTAGAGCACAGAGGGGAATGAAGTAAAAAAGAAAAGCTTCCTACTTAAGGCAGCGATTATCATTCTGTCATGGGACTTAAAACTACTCAGACAGTTTTCAGTCCATGTTACCATACCCACACCCATCAAACAAGACGCTCACCTGCCTGAAAGCAAAGCAAATCATGGTGCATGAACATTATACAACCACTTGAAAACTTAGTAGAGATCTTTTACTGCTAATCAGACCTTATCTTTTACTGACAATAGGGAACTATTTTTCCAGTCAATCTCACAGAAGCCAAGGAAAGCACGTTGCTTCAAATAAGTAGAAGAGGCATTCATTTCCCTGCAATACACTGAAGTTAAACCTCCTTGCTAAGGCTGTGCAAAGCTTTCCTGCTACCATCTGCTTTGCCCTTTACTGTATGGTCTTCCTCTATATACATCCATGTTTCTAACATCTGATGGGGATGATCATCCTTGTTTTGTTCTTTTTTCTTCAAAGGATTATAGCAGACTTGTCAAGCCACACGCCTGGATAACATTCAGGCATGCAGATGACTTATTTTTTCAGTTCTCAAAGTTCTGCTTTTTGCCAGCTTTCTTACACCCTCTAATCTGTTTTTCTTTTTTTGTTTTACTCCATGTTGGTGTACATTAGCATCAAACAAACACCAAGGAATAACATTTTGGCTTATGTAAAAGGTCACAGTGGTATCGAGCTGAGTGGACTGGACAGGTTTCAGAAACTGAGAACATGTCCTCAGGAGTTATGTCACACTTTAAGGAACATATCCTGCAGTTCTTCAGAAAAATCCTTATCCATGGGAAATCCAAGAGTTTCAGCACTACACTAATTGACTCATCACAATCAAGAGCATACCACTCCATGGAAGGAATCAAGGTGTTCGTGATGCATTTGATGAGTCACTCGTGGGACCAACTGCATGTTTTGCTTTTCTCCTTTCTTCTTCATAAACCTTGTGGCTGCATTGTACCAAGACAAGCAAAAGGGGTGGGGTGGGAAGGAAGAAAAGGAGTAGAAATGCAATCCACAATAAGCGAAATGCTATTAGTTCACCAGAAGTAGCTACAACTTCAGAATCTCCCACTGGTCATCCAAAATGGATATGGAAATCTGAAGCCACATCAGCTGTTTCTGATAAATACCTAAAACCAACACAAGCATGGCCAATTCCTTATTTTTATCCTTTAACCCTGGAAAGACATTCTCTATTCCTCCAAAATCCTTCACCCACAGATTTAGGCATGAGGATTTTAAGAGCACCAAAATGGAGAGCAGCATCCCACAAAAACCGGCGCTTCCTACCCACACTTCTGCTCGCAGAGAACCACCCCACTTGGCCCTTCTCGGCTCACTTTACTGTAAAGGAGATGAGACTGTATTTCAAGCCAGCAGAATTACAGGATGCTGGCAACTAATTTGCAAGCAAACAACAACAGAGCTGCTGATTTCTTCTGGCTGATTTGCAGCAGCATAGAGGAAGATTTTAAAAAAAAAAAAAAAAAAAAAAAAAAAGCAGAAGTTCAAGATGAGCAATATATTTAAAAAAAAAAAACAAACAAACAAAAAAAAAAAAACCCAAACATTTTCCCATTACAAATAGGCAGCACATCCACTGTTCCAGATGCATGCATCCTGGCAGAAAAAAATGATGCAGAAAAATTTAGCTCTTTAATTTAAATCTGGATGCCTCATTTATACCTTTGCATGACCATAGGGCTCAGTCCTCCAAGCACTTTGCCAAGTTGAATGGTACTATATGACCCTGCAAACACATCCCCGATTAGGATGTTCATCTGCAGTCTTGATATTATAACAGCTTTTAATAGATTCAGATGGGTCAAGTCCTATTATGCTGAGCAAACTAATCTCTTCATGCAAATTCTTTTTACATCTGAAATGGAATAAATGTCGAATTTACAAAAAAATCCACACGTATCGTGACTGATGACTAAACAGCAGCCCTATAATTATGCACACTGCTGCAACAGCTATTTTATTCTTGACTATACAGAATCTTTCTGTGCTACATTAACACAGAGGGCTTTTTAAACATATGTAAAATCAGATACACCACGCAAAAATCCTTTTATGACTCTAGGATTTTGGAAACGCAAATCAAACAAGAATACTAGATGGCATTTCACACGAGGAAATGGCACACTAAGAACGAACATACTGAAGAAACTGCCTTCTGTCCTCCCACTTGCAAAGTAAGAAAAAAAAAAAAAAAAAAAAAAAAAAGAACATCTGGCTTGTAACCACCACAGATCTCATGACTAACTTCCCATTTCAGCTTTAAAAGAAGGTTGAGATATCCTGGAGTCGGATGCCACAAAAATCTGCATTGAGGAATAAAGGAGAACTGGTCTCTCTAAAACAGGGATCCAACACACAGCACCTTCAGAAGGATGAAAGTTTTCCCATCAGCTTAGACAAAGCCAAGATTCAATCTATGGTATTTCAATTTGTATAAATTTTTACAAATTAAAAATGTGTGGCCTTCCAAAGCATTTCTTGTAATAAGCAAGATTCATTGAGACATCATCTACAGGCAGAGGTCTCATTAAAACTGACTGGGTTTAACATGCGTTTGTCTTGCGTATCAG